TGGAGTGGCCATCGCAGTCACCAGACTTAAATCCGATTGAGAACCTCTGGTGGGACTTAAAGAAAGCAGTTTGCAGTGCGCAAGCCTAAGAATGTGACTGAACTGGAGGCCTTTGCCCATGAAGAATGGGCGAAGATACCCGTAGATCGCTGCAAGACACTTGTGTCAAGCTATGCTTCACGTTTTAAAAGCTGTTATAACTGTAAAAGGATGCTGTACTAAGTACTAAGATTGAATGTCACTTGGGGGTTGAATAAAACTGATAATGCTGTGAGCACAGAAAAGACATTTGTGGTTATTTCATTATAACTGTTATGTTATATTTGTCTGACCTACAAGTGCCTCTTTAATGTAAATGTAAGCAAGATGACTGAATGATCAAAAGCAATGTCAAACTGGCCAAAACACTCAATTTCAGTGGGGGTTGAATAATTTTGGCCACAACTGTATATACTGTCATGACATCACAAGGGGGTGGGGTAAATGTCATCACAGACAGTGATTGGTCAAAGCATTGCACCTGACCTGCGGTCACAATGAACCAAAACCTGCGGTCAGGTGCATTGCTTTGACCAATCACAATGCATTGTCAGGGCGCACTGCATTGTGGGGGCGCGGGGTGAGCGAATAGCCCGCTGAGCACCCATACTGGTCGTGTGTTCACCAAACACATGAATGGCCCAGGTTTGACTCGAACATGAAGCCCATCCCTATTGCTAAGATATACAAGATTTTATCTGCTCTCTGCATGATGTCTCTTTCACACAAGTGATTTACTGAATATATGATTTGGGTTCATTGTGGATATTGGTATGTAACCACTTCTGGTTGATGTAAGCCGGACCTTTCCTTTATTTCTATTCTATAAAGCAGACCAAGAAGGAATCATCATCTAATTTCACTTTTATGCCTTACTGTATTTATTGCAATATGTTGCCATTTCACTTTTGAACTTGAATTCGATTTTATTTTTGAATTTGAATTTTTTTCAATGTTGTCATCTATTTCAGATTCATTGAAATTTGTTACTATTTGTGTTGTTCCAGTTTTGGGGTTGTATTCGATATGTGCAAAGAGAGATCACACAAATACTATTAAAAGTAATGACAGATATAGATAAAGGAGATATAATAATACTTAAAGCGGAGCTCCACCCAAAAGGGGAAGCTCGACTTTAAAGACTGGTCCTCCGCTCCCCATTAACCTCCTTGGCGGTATGATTCTTTCCGATTTTTTGTGCTGAAAGCGGTACCATTGTTTTGCATGGAAAAATATGTAGTTTTTTATTGTAGACTGTAATTTTTAGGAATAACTCACTGAAATCTGTCTGAACAAGAGTCTAGTAAACATGCCGGGGAGGATAAAATTTGAAACACGAAATCATAAATTATAATTTAATAAATAATCATAAAAAAATAATAATATAATAATAATAAATTTAATTCAATAATATAATCAAACCAAAAACACTGAACTTTGAAATACAGAGGCAAATTCGCACATCGCTGAGCAAAGTCGCAAAATCGTTTTCAGTGTCTGATGACGAATTTCCCCCACGAATCATTATCACTCAATTCTGCAAGTGGTTCTGATTTACTATCGCTGTTCTCTAGCCGATCTAAAACCCCTTTTGACCTAAAGGGACGCTTTTTGGACGCCATGGACGTTTCTCAGTTTCCAGGCAGAAAGAACATTCAAAATGCAGGCAGGGCGCCGGACAAAGCAGTGGGGACAAAATGTATGTGAAATGCATTGAAATAGCAATGACAGCAAAAATGGCATTTTTTAAAAAATTCTAATTTCCCACCGGTTCCGGCGCCCGTACGTCCCGACGTCACAGGGACCGGAACACAGAAGCCGGATGCCGGCATCGGCCGGAGGAGATGGCCGGGGACGCTGCAGGGGACACATCGCGGGAGCGAAGGACAAGGTAAGTGCTGCAGGGACCCCCAGAGCAGCACCGCATGGTAAGCCCGAGTGTAACTCGGGGTTACCACTTTTGGTATAGAAATTTTACCCCGAGCTACACTCGGGATTACCGCTAAGGAGGTTAAGGATTGGCACCTTTGGGGATTGGAATGGGGGAGCGGGTATTGCCAGGTACCCGCTCCCACGTCTGCTGCAATTGCCTAGGCCATTGTAAGTGGAAGTTATCCTCCCCTATCCTTCCCCGTAGTTTTCTGGGACAGGTGAAAGTTTCCAGAACTGTAGTATAGTGAATATACAGGGTCCGGGGAGAGCGGATATAGTGAATGAGGGGTCCGGGGAGACCGGATATAGTGAATGCGGGGTCCGGGGAGAGCGGATATAGTGAATGTGGGGTCCGGGGAGAGCAGATATAGTGAATGCGGGGTCCGGGCAGAGCGGATATAGTGAATGCAGGGTCCAGGCAGAACGGATATAGTGAATACGGGGTCCGGGGAGAGCGGATATAGTGAATGCAGGGTCCGGGAGAGCGGATATAGTGAATGCGGGGTCCGGGGAGAGCGGATATAGTGAATGCAGGGTCCGGGGAGAGCGGATATGGTAAATGCAGGGTCCAGGGAGAGCGGATATAGTGAATGTATGAGATGGGGAAACAGCTTTCATTGTTTGAACACTGATTGAAGTAAATTAAAAAGACATTCTGACTGACATTCTGCAGTTTAGCCACAAGATGTCACTGTTTTTTCTAACACAGCCTCAGACTGCATAGAGATTTCTATATTCATGAAGGGGTGGGGTTTTACACTTGGAGAGTGAACAGGAAAAGGAGAGGAGAGCAGCCATGCTTGAGAGAGAGAAGGGGGGCTGTGTCATCTGAGAATCCGATGCCATGCAGATGTGAGGACAGCCCTCTGTAATCAGAAATTCAGTTGAGTGAAGCTGATGGTGTTCAAGACACTAACCCTGTTCAAAGAAAGGAAGATTGCTTCCAGGAAACTGATGGGAAGCTGAGGAACTAAGCAATATATATACTGTGATATTGGATGCTCAGTGGAGAGACATTTGTTCTGTTTAGAGTCACCAGCAGATGCCAAGCAGACCCTGTTCAGAGTCACCAGCGGATGCAAAGCAGACCCGGGCTCGGTAAGATCGTGCACGCACCTCATTTCAGTGTTGGCGCCCATAGGACTGAGACAGGCCTATAGTTAGTTAGTTAGGGTCTCTGTTTGTGTCAGGCCACAAGTGTTGTTACTGATCATTGGAAGGACTCCACAACTTAAAGTGACATTTCACATTGGAGAGCTGATAAAATCCTACAAACTCAAGCCAGACTGGCGTTTTGCTCAGAAGGAATACTCAGGCACGTGCTACAGGACCAGTTATGGGAGGAGAATACTGTAGATCTGTGTAAGATTGTAAGCTGTTGTGCTGCACCGCAGGCTAGCCCATACCGTACCCCCATACACTGATTCCTGCTCTGTAGGGTAATAACAGGTAAGGTGTGGCAGCTTAGTTGTGCCCCCCAGTAGTTAAATTACTACACCTTCTACCTTCATCCATCAGGAGGCGCCGTGCTGTGCAGCACAAGGGTCTCAGCCTTTGGGCTGGGTGTATGTAAATTTATTGTATGTTCCCAGCATTTGTGGTTTTGTTTATTTGCCACATCTAAGTAAAATTCTGTTGTGACAAAAGCTGGTGTTGGGGTTGCTTTCCTCGTTCGTGACTTCACTGTATCCTGGGGAGCCTACCCTGGTACACGGCTTACAAATGCAGGGTCCGGGGAGATTGGATATAGTGAATGCGGGGTCCAGGTAGAGCGGATATAGTGAATGCAGGGTCTGGGGAGACCGGATATTGTGAATGCGGGGTCCGGGGAGAGCGGATATAGTGAATGCGGGGTCCGGGGAGAGCGGATATAGTGACTGCGGGGTCCAGGGAGAGCGGATATAGTGACTGCAGGGTCTGGGGAGAACGGATATAGTGAATGCGGGGTCCGGGGAGAGCGGATAAAGTGAATGCAGGGTCCGGGGAGAGCGGATATAGTGAATGCGGGGTCTGGGGAGAGCGGATATAGTGAATGTAGGGTCTGGGGAGAGCAGATATAGTGAATGCGGGGTCTAGGGAGAGCGGATATAGTGAATGCAGGGTCCGGGGAAAGCGGATACAGTGAATGCGGGGTCCGGGGAGAGCAGATATAGTAAATGCGGGGTCCAAGGAGAGCAGATATAGTGAATGCGGGGTCCAGGGAGAATGGATATAGTGAATGCGAGGTCCGGGGAGAGCGGATATAGTGAATGCGGGGTCCGGGGAGAGCGGATATAGTGAATGCGGGGTCCGGGGAGAGCGGATATAGTGAATGCGGGGTCCGGGGAGAGCGGATATAGTGAATGCGGGGTCCGGGGAGAGCAGATACAGTGAATGCGGGGTCCGGGGAGAGCAGATACAGTGAATGCAGGGTTCGGGGGGACCGGATATAATTTTGATTCGAAACAAAACAAATCGCATGTGCCTAGAGTAGATGTGGAGCCTGTACATGGTCATAGGATGGCTGTTACTTTTGAGGTCTTGGCTGGATTATATGGCTGCTCGGGTTGCAGTCTGGACTCTTCATCCCCACATATTACATAGTAGCGAGGGAGTCCAGATTTTGTTTTACAATTTTATACCCGGTGAAGACAGCTCTTTGTGAATGACCCATGCACTGTTGGGATGATTTACTAAAGGCAAATAGACTGTGCACTTTGCAAGAACAGTTGCTCCAGAGCTTAATAAATGAGCAAAAGCTCTGCTGACTTCCATCGTCATGTGCAAGCAAAAGTGCATTTTTTTCAATTTTCCTTGCACATGATTGGGTATTTGCAAAGTGAATCTTTATCTCATTTACAAAGCTCTGGAGTAACTGCACTTGTAGTGTGCAACTACACCTTGTATGGTGCACAGCCTATTTGCCTTTAGTAAGTCAACCCCCATGTGTGAGTATAATTATTTTTATTCCTTTCATTATCAATAAATGCATTATCGGCGCTGTCTAGTGCACCTAATTTTTCTCTTTCCTTGTGGATCTCAATGTGTACCTGATACTTGCAGAGTAGATGTAGAGGCCCTGGAATCTGGAGTGAAGATAACAAAGCAGCGATAGTTCCCTTCATCTGTGATCTGAATGTTGGGTATGAAAAGACTGGCATTGCCTAGTTGGAGGTCTTTGTCATTCATGTGAGATCCGATCCTCGATGGCGTATGTTTGTAACTACTAAAACCATAAACCTCACGTTCAGTTCCATTCTGTAATCTGAGAGTCCAGACAACTGATAGTTTCTCTAGATTCAGCGGTATTGGGACACCAGACAGCAGACAAGGGATGGTGACATTTTCTCCTCTAAGAGCTTCAGTAGGAACATCTTTCCCAGTAACTCTCAGCCCCCGAACCTGAAAATCACCTAAAAATTAGAACAAAAAAAAGAGTGATGACAATTGTACAGGATCACTTGTGACAGAGGAAACTAAACTGCTAACGTAATCCAGAATAACACTGCAATGGCACCAAAACCACTTATGGACCACCCACCTGCAATGTACTGTGGACAGGCGGGCCGTGCAGGCAAAGCAACATACTGGTCTGTCATTGCCTGCTTTTGGGTTTACGGCGCACACATGCGCGCCCCCACCACCGACACCTGCTGTGATTGTACACAGCGGGAGTCTGTTAGCAAGTCCGACTGGTTCCACAACACGATTCAGGACTGGGACCTGCTGATCAGCTGTGTCCAATCACAGCCCAGAGCTCTGTGTTGATGAACAATCTGTACACAGGGAAAGATCTGTGTTTCTTATTCCTGCAAAGCAGGGATGAGAAACAAAGAGATCTGTTAGTAAAAGCAGCACATAATACACACATTACCCATTGTTGGGTACATATTTATTCCCTTGATCACCCCTAGATGTTAACTCCTTCCCAATTTTGGTATTTTTTGTATCGCAAAAAAAATAAAAATCCCCAGTAGTGGTCAGATACCACCATGAAATTACCAGTTAGAATAGCGTAGTGGCGAATAGCAAGAAATGCCCTGGACATGAAGGGGGTAAAACCTTCCAGAGATCAAGTGGTTAAACCGGGATCCAGCAAGGTGCTTTGACAATGGAATCAGTATTGGTAACCCTCCAGTCAGAGGCATCCCTAGGGTTGGTATCACCCGGTGCGGTAACACATGATGTCACCCCTCCAGAGAGGAAGGAGCAGTGCCGATGTAGAGCAGCAAAATGAGAATCCCGTGAAGATATGAATCCCCTGAAGCAACTGCACATGTGCCGGTTTCAGGCCAAAGAAGCCGATCTCCGACTAGCACAGAGTTGCCACAGTTAACCCCTTACAGGTTGCAAACCGCTGAAGCTGATCCCGAGGATCACTATGGGTTGCAAGATCAGTTAACCTCATAAATTCAACCTATATGAGGTTAACTGATCTTGCAACCCATAGTGATCCTCGGGATCAGCTTCAGCGGTTTGCAACCTGTAAGGGGTTAACTGTGGTAGGTCTGTGCTAAAGTCAGAGATCGGTAAACGGCTTCTTCAGCCTGAAACCAGCACATGTGCAGTTGCTTCAGGGGATACATATCTTCACAGGATTCTAATTTTACTGCTACACCGGGGGCAGCTGACACTGCTGGTATCCTGCACCCCCTGTGATGGTGTCACCCGGTGCGGCCCGCACCCCCTAGGGATGCCACTGCCTCCAGTATGCTTCAACCTGAGGTTCTACACTCCTATAAACCCTCTGAATCCAAGATGTGGTGCAGATGCAGACAATCAGTTGGTGTTTTCTTTCATATATTCTGGCTATGACCCGTGATTCCGCCTTTCTGAGAGAAGGTAGCAGATTTACAGTGTCAAGTCTAGGGAGGGTTACTCCATTTGGACCGTGTCCTCAACCTTCTTGGCTTCCTTTTCATAGATATACCCAAAACCTCTAAAAAATTGACCACCCATATCCTAACAGAAGGTATGAGACCTATCCCTCTCCACTGGAGGAAACTGTTGTCCTGTCTCAGACAGACCTACTGGATACGGTTATGGAAATTAGGAAGATAGACCATCTGATGGCTAACATTTGGGATAGACTGGAGACATCCTCTCAGATATGGGCACTGTGGGATCAGCCATCTTTTAGAGCTTTCTTTTGGTGGTATTTAATCACCACTGGGGTTTCTTTTATTTTCTGCTATATAAACAAAAAAATACTCAAAATTTTGAAAACAAAAATCCAATATTCTTAATTTGTTATAAACTTTTGCAAGCAAAACATCTTTCCTCTTAAATTTAAACCAAAATATATTCTGTTACAGCTCTTTGGTAAAGATACCCCAAATCAGTGTTTATTATTTATTCTGTAGCAAAGTTATAGAGTCTACAAACTATTAGATATACAATATATTTGAAAATTGATCTATCCTGCTTTACTGATGTCGGGTTTTAAATCTTGAGGCCCTAAAATGTCAGGACAGTACAAATCCCCCCCAAATGTCAGGACAGTACAAATCCCCCCAAATGTCAGGACAGTACAAATCCCCCCCAAATGTCAGGACAGTACAAATCCCCCCCCCCCAAATGTCAGGACAGTACAAATCCCCCCCCCCAAATGTCAGGACAGTACAAATCCCCCCCAAATGTCAGGACAGTACAAATCCCCCCAAATGTTAGGACAGTACAAATCCCCCCAAATGTCAGGACGGTACAAATCCCCCCAAATGTCAGGACAGTACAAATCCCCCCAAATGTTAGGACAGTACAAATACCTCCAAATGTCAGCATGGTACAAATAACCCCAAATGTCAGGACAGGACAGATACCCTCAAATGTCAGGACAGGACAAATACCTCCCCCCCCAAATGACCCCTTTTTGGAAACTAGACAGTTTTAGGTATTTAATCATGTGATTGCTATGATTGGCCATAACGCTCACATGATACCCTGGCTCAAAGCAGCTGGGTATTGAGCTCCGTGATCCACTGCGTCCCTAGGATGGCAGATGAGTTCCTACTTACCATTCAAAGGGAAAATTCTGACATCCTGGGGTTTATTTACTAAAGCTGGAGAGTCCAAAATCAGACTCCCTTCTGCATAGAAACCAATCAGCTTCTAACCTCAGCTTGTTCAATGAAGCTTTGGCAAAGAAACCTGGAAGCTGATTGGTTTCTATGCAGAAGGGAGTCTGATTTTGGACTCTCCAGCTTTAGTAAATAAACCCCCCTGGGTCAATTACAGGAGTTTTTTGACCTTCCAAGATCTAGGGTTCATATCAGACACAATCTGCTTTCCATGGTGGTGGGTTGGAATACACAGATGTATTTTTGAACATGAGTGGTGGTGACGCAAGATTAAAATGACTTCCATTATGACTGACACTGATTATACATGTTACTTGTTATAAAAAAATAACAGGCTTTATGTATGGTTGATACGAGGTATAATCACTTGGGAGGACTTCCTATTTTTTGGGGAGGTGTCCATGCTGTACGTAAGAAACATCTTAATAAAAAAGACAACTTTGAAGTAGGTCGTTTTTGCCAAAAAAAAAACATTGTTTTGTGTAGCAGCAATAATTGATGTGTTGGAAGCAGTAGAGGCAATACAGCCAAAAACTAAAAGTATACACTTTAAAACAAGAAAGCTATTAACATCATATATACTGCCAAACCGGGGCAAAGAAAGTCAGAGCACATAGCTTGTTGGGATCTTCTATTCAGTAGCACACTGTACTGTGTACAAACCACAAACCATAATCCTGAAACCCACATTGCAGAGATGACGCAGTTAAAAAAAAATGAGGCAAGAACAAAAAAAACCAATGCCATGTTTCAGAGGCAAAAGTTTTAAAACACGGCTGGACAGCATGCAAACAATTGGAATGGGGCCCAAGGCAGCAATGAAAGAGATAGAAATTATTTTTTTTCCTCTAAAAAAAACGATCAGGGTAAAATATTACAAAGTATCCTTAAATATTGGCCATTAAGCAAGCATCTCTACTTGGACATTACGTCAGAAGAATAGACGAGGCATATTTTATTTAGATAAAACAAATTTCAGCTTAAAAAATGAAAGGAAGACTTTGAAAACCCATCTGATCTCAATGGGGAAAAACCTCCTGCTGGATATCTATACTGATATGGACGGGGTAATGTGTTAGGAATGTAAGGACGCCCCATCATTTGACAAATTAAATTTAGCAACCTATAAAGGAATGAATTCAAAGACACCCGAAAATCAAAGTGAAAAAATAATGCAGCAGGCGAGTCCATTTCATTGCAGCAACTCAGAATGGTCTCCAATAGTTTGTATGGCCCCCACGTGCTTGTATGCATGCCTGATAATGTCGGGGGAGGCTCCTAATGAGATGACGGATGGTGTCCTGGGGGATTTCCTCCCAGATCTGGATCAGGGCATCACTGAGCTCCTGGACTGTCTGAGGTGCAACCTGGCGGCTTCGGATGGACCAAAACATGACATCCCAGAGGTGTTCTATTGGATTTAGGTCAGGTGAGCATGGGGGGGTATCAATTCCTCCATCCTCCAGGAACTGCCTGCATACTCTCTCCACAGGAGGCTGGGCAGGAGGAATCCAGGACCCACTCCACCAGCGTAGGGTCTGACAATGGGTCCAAGGATTTCATCCCGATACCTAATGGCAGTCAGGGTGCCATTGTCTAGCCTGTAGAGTCTGTGCTGTGCGTCCTTCCATGGATATGCCTCCCCAGACCATCACTGACCCACCACTAAAACGGTCATGCTGAACGGTGTTACAGGCAGAAGAACGTTCTCCACAGCTTCTCCAGACCCTTTCACGTCTGTCACATGTGCTCAGGGGGAACCTGCTCTCATCTGTGAAAAGCACAGGGCGCCAGTGGTGGACCTGCCAATTCTGGTGTTCGATGGCAAATACCAATCCAGCTCTATGGTGCCGAGCAGTGAGCACAGGGCCCACTAGAGGACGTCGGGCCCTCAGGCCACCATCATGAAGTCTGTTTCTGATTGTTCGGTCACAGACATTTACACCAGTGGCCTGCTGGAGGTCATTTTGTAGGGCTCTGGCAGAGCTCATCCTGTTCCTCCTTGCACAAAGGAGCAAATACCGGTCCTGCTGATGGGTTAAGGACCTTCTACGGCCCTGTCCAGCTCTCCTAGAGGAACTGCCTGTCTCCTGGAATCTCCTCCATGCTCTTGAGACTGTGCTGGGAGACACAGCAAACCTTCTGGCAATGGCACATATTGATGTGCCATCCTGGAGGAGTTGGACTGCCTGTGCAAGCTCTGTAGGGTCCAGATATGGCCTCATACTACCAGTAGTGACACTGACCCAAGCCAAATGCAAAACTAGTGAAAAACGGTCAGAAAAGATGAGGAGGGAAAAAAAATGTCAGTGGCCTCCATCTGTAAATCCATTCCT